CCAGAGTATTTTTCGGCATGACCCCTCTGACGATCAAGTCAATATGTGAGATAGGGGATGGAAAAGCACTGTTATATTGCTTGGGTTCTAATTTCATACCTTAGACTTGAATTTGTGAGAACTATTTATACCTTTGTGGAGTTAATCATTGCAGACTGCCAGGTCCCCTAGAGGGAAGGCTCCCTATTGGCCCATTTGGAAGGCAACAGGTAGCACCCAGTCCTTGAGTAGCGAGCCTCCCTTTCCTCATAACAGAAGCTTCTGCATTTAATGCTTGGATCCCCAAGCATTCAATGTTTGCCCTTTTAGGTTTGTCGAGCAATAAATACGTCCCATCCTTCTAAAGTATCATTTAATGTTCCCCATTATGGCTATGCATGCGCAAGGGTATTCCCATCTATCACCCTCCAAGAGGTCGTGTCCTATGAGCTCTGTACTTCATATAGTCTCACCATTGGTTATCAAGCTATCTTCCCTGGCACTCTGACTGTCTTGGGAAGAGGAATTGATGATTAATAGCCAATCTTGCTTCGAATGTGATGACGTCATTCTTGATTCTTTTGGGAACTAGGCCATTTGGCACAGATCAAGTGCCTGAATGATTGTAGACACCTTGGGGGGTGGATTCCCACACCGAGGACATATGTCAGATAGGGAGTTCCTCGGGGGACTTGAGGCACCATGGACAAATGTCAAATGATAAAGCTTCTGAGAGACCTTGGTGCCGAGGGACACGTGTCAAACAAAAGACACTCCAAGGGGTCCAACACCAAGGACACATGTCTCTTCATGGAGGGTCCAAGTCTTGTTACGTTGAGGATACACGTTAGTCGAGGAGAGTGATTCATGCGTAAAGTTAACTATTTTTACTATGCCTTTTTGGACTAATTGTGCTTTGATAGAGTTTAAGTAATAACATTTCAGGTCCTAAAGTGAACAAAGGCTCAAGAACAACAAAAATCACACTAGAATGTAACACCAGCACAAAAGGGAACAAAATTGCAGAAGGTTGGAACAAAGCAAGAACGTTCGAATGTCAACCCACGTTCGAACGTCCTCTGCAACCCTGTCAAGACCAGCTACTGAGACATGGCATGTTGTAGTCAACAAAAAGAAGAACTAGAAGTACTTGAGTACAACGTTCGAACGTCACTCCACATTCGAACGTTGTCTTGAGTGACTAAGGAGTTGTTGAGTGTACAGTCAAGGTTGTTCAAGGCATATGGAAGTGACCAAGTCACTGACCACAAGCCACTTGAGTGGAAGAAAGCCACAGACAATGTTCGAACGTCATATCACGTTCGAACGTCCTTGAAGAAAAGGCAGACTTAACGTTCGAACGCCAGATCACGTTCGAACGTCCCTCTGCAGACTACCTGCAGAATAGTTGATTCCCATGGGCGGCAAATACTATTCACTCATCCTCACTTATCTCTTACCCCTTCTCCCCTTCCTTGCTTATAAATACTCCCTTGTTGGGAGCTTAAAAGGCATTCTTCCTCTTATAAAGAAAAGGGGGAGCAATCTTTGTTCTTGAAATGTAAGAGTGTTTTAGTAATCTAGTTCTTGAACATTTCATGTTTATGCTTTCATTTTCCATTTATATCAACCATGATGGAGGCTTGGACTCCCCTTGTAGTTGAAGTCTTTCATTTACTTATGCTAAGTCTTTACATTCATGTTGAGGCAACTGTGATGGAGGCTTAGACTCCCCTTGTAGTTGTACTTGCTTTTATTTACAAAATATCAAGAGAGGTAGTTCATCTTTTGGTTGTGGTGGAAATCCTCCAAAACAACTATCTTTCTTCTACTTTTATTGTTCATGTATTTCACTTTCATTGCTTGAGCATCCTTCTTTCTTAGAATAGTGAAACTCTTCCACTTTTCTAGAGCTTTACCAAGGCCTTGAAGGGTAGAAAGTGATTCACTTATTCTTCATTGAAGAAAAACTTTTTGTTTAGTTTGTTTTACTTAGTAGCTTTTCTACTTGGAGGGATGAGTAGCACTCACTTTTCTAGCTTCACCAAGGCCATGAAAAGTGAGTAGTTCCTCATTCACTCTTTAGTAAGGAGAGATGAATATGTAAAGATTATCCGAAAGTTATGTTTGTGCAACTTCTTCATGCTTTAATGCTTTATACAACACCTATTCATTGGACGATTGAATGTACCTAGTAAAGTGAGGTACTTTGTATAACCAAGGGCTCCATCTATGATACAGATGACTCCTGCATAGAAAGACGCGTTAGTTCAATGCAAGTACCCCAGCTAGATCTTCATGACAACCTTTCAATCCCCCACCATTATTACGCTTTATTCAGAGACTGGATCATTAATGTCATGGTTGGATGCCTTGTAGAAACACTTGCTTGTTTGTAAACGAGTTAAGTCTCAGCACAGACAATTCTTGTAAACTTCTAGTAAGGCATCGAAATCATGTGCTTAATTCTCACAGTCCATCTTTATCTTCCAATTAACTTGTTGTTGACACGAGAGTTAATTGAGTTATAAAGCACAAACATAATAAATAGATACTCTATTACATGTCCTAATCCTCGAGCTAAATGGTGGATGTTACATTTTGAAAATCTTATATTTTGTCTAGAAAACTCTTGAAAAGAATCTTCTATTCTATTCAAGAAACTCCACCACTCCAAACACTCGAAAATTTCAAGTTACTTGGTCTCTATTATTGCTTACTTCAAAACACTAATCATAGTTCCCTGTGGATTCAACTCCGAACTTCACTAGATTATTACTACAACTTGACCGCTTGCATTTGGGTGTACACATTTCGGATCAAGTCAGAGAGCTTTGAGGAGTTCCATGTCAAGGATAAATGTCGGCTCAAGGAAGCTCCACGAGTCATCACGCCGAGGCCACGTGTCATCTTCTTATCAACTCATGGAAACGTCCCATTAGATTTGTATTAAATGCAAATTTTGTTGGATTGTGTGTTTGGATTTTGTGCAGTCTAATCCAAAGCATACTTTGGGATTTTGTGCACAAGTCGAGGCATAAATCTTTGTTGTGGAACTCAACTTTAGGATTCTTAGGCTTCATGACTTGTTCTCACGCATTACAACACTCCCAGCCACACACACATACACAAAGGCACACTGCATACACTACTCACGCACAACACACACACACAACATACACACAACACACACCACCATAGAAAATCACCACCTCCACTTCCCAAGTTTAAGGTCTTTGCTATGGTGTTTGACAATTTGTATGTTAGGTGTTTGACAAAATGTATGTGAATTGTTTGAGCATTTTGTGTACCTATGGATATGCTTGTTTGATCCCCCTCCTAACATATCAACGACCCCACTTGCATTGTCTTGTTGATCTCAAAAAAAATTTGCCGAGTTTTGACTTTTTTTTTTTTTTTTTTTATAATTTGGTCACATGTTTTTGTACATTTATGTGCATCATCTTTCCTTCATAGGCCCATGCTGATGGAATGTAGCAAAGTGACATAAGTGAAGCAAATTAGTTTACTTAATTCACTTGTTCATCTCCAAGTTCCTTTTGATGTTATTTCTTTTTTTGGACAGCTAATGGTTATTCTTGGATTTCATTTATTGGGAATTTGAGTTTTAAGTTTTGCTTTATATTGGTGCGAATATATATATTCAAGTGTTGCGACATATGTATAGCCATATATGTTCCAATGGATTTTAATTTTTCCTAATCATTATTATTATTTGTGTTAAGTAGTGCCAATAGACGTGTTCATCTCTTATGATATGCTAAAGTTTGTTGCTACTAATTCAGGTTTATAAATAGGCCGCGAGATGAACGTAGCAGCTATATTCGAGTAGTGCAATTGTCTCTCAAGTATAATCAAAACAAAAGGAAGCAAGAAATGATTATATTATTTGCTGCAGGATAATTGCACTTACGCTTCATCTGAGGAGTTTACCATTGCAATTATGTGCTTTCATTTCTGTTAAATATGACAATAGAGAATTGATGAACCATTTTGGTAAACTAGATTAAAAAACAATTGTATTGTCTAATTACGATTAATGATCATTGTTTACAATTACTATTATTATGTTGTTACGAAGGTCCGTAAATTGTACTTTTTAAGAAAGATTTTAATATAATGGTGAGTGTTGGACTTTTTGAATATGATTATGAGATACATAAACTCTATAAACAAGTTGATATTTCTCTGGGTTCCTATTTTAAAGGAAATTATGCCAAATTTTTTTGAAAAAATATCAATCTTTGATTGATTTCAATTTCTTTAATTAAAACAAATGAAAAAAGAACTATGTCAAATTAACAGACTTTTTTTAGGATGCAAAGTAAATTCACGGGTTATTACTAGTAAAATGATATCTCATAGCTATCACACTTGAAGAAAAAGAAACTATGAAAGAGGTCGGTCGAATAAAAGCACGAGTCCTTATAGTCCCTACTAGTAAAGGACAAGCCAGCAAGTTCAACAGATCGGCAAGCACAGATGGGGAACAGGAGAGGGGGAGGATGAAGAAGCCCAAAGCCAGCATGTTAAACGTAACTAATGGCCGCATATTGGCATCCTAAATGTTAATTCTATTAAAGCACACGGTAAAATTTAACCAGCATACACCACTTAAGACTGCCCTAATATTGTGAAAATAACAGAATGGAGTTTAAATGAATTTAAAAAAATTCCACTAAAATGTCTCCCATCTCCGTATGAATAATGGATACACATTATTTTTCAGGTCAGGCACAAGGGATAAAAAGGAAAGCCAACGAGAAGGCTCCTGTGAGTGTATGTTTTGATTTGAATTTTGAATCTATCGGGTGGTTTCTACTGCATTATCTAAGACATGTTTTCATCAGACGGCTAGGAAAATTGGGGCTTTTACCATACATGACATCACCCACGCCACGCATAAGTACAAGGATAATAAGATATTAAGATTGCAATAATTGCATAGGTGCCCCCATCAAAACAACAGATATAAAGCAAAGTTGGAATATTGCTATATACTATGATCCCTCGGCTTCAGTTGTATTGGGATCTTCAGATCGACTCCCCAGCCTCACAATATCTTCAACAAGAATCTTCCCATCTGGAGACAAAGTTCACAGAAGTCAGGATTCTGAATATACAATACAATAAATTAGATTCATTAAAGTAGCAGTTTTATCTGTAGGTTGAAGTTGAACACAGGACATATGAAAAATAAAATACTATAAAAGAGATTCATTGAAGACGTCATCAATTTGTCTAGCTCAGCTGTATAGTTTCTAGGGATTTGGATCCCCTCCATTTCAAATTTTGGCAGTTTAAGTCACACGTCACTGATAGTTAACGTAGATAATTTGTTACTTAACTTAGCAGGCAAACATGACCATTGAGACTTCACATTCTTGAAATCATTCTAATTCAAATCGGAAATATTGTTTCTTGAAAAACAACTTCAAAATTAGATGGCAAAACACCTCAATCCGGTCTTCGCACTTTGATCCTAAATTGGAAGAGATTCAGGTGGCTCTTCATCCTATTGTCAACAGCTACAAAACCGCCTCACCAATCATCCGAAATACATCCAAATGCCAAAAATGGATGGGCAACCCTTTAAAACCAATCCATCCACCCAAAATGGGAACTTTATTGTTCACGGAATTGGCTTCATGCTTCCATATCTATAATTTCAGCATTAATAAACTTCACAGAAGCAATTTCTATACTTGCACACAGAAAAAAGTTGATGTGTCAAACAACTATATCCTTCCTTCTCCCTCTACACAGTAATCAAAGAATCACCAACAATGCGCTTGTAATTTGGTTCTAGTTATCTAACATAAGTCCCACTCTAGCATCCTCATGTATGTCCACAGAACTCAGTCCTCTGTTTTCAACCATAACAAATTGTCTACTTAACTCAGCAACATGCTTCCACCCACTTCCCTCTATTCCTTTGGGAACAATCATTCCAGATCTCCTACCATTGTTCAGTGATTTTAATGAAGTTTGTTTCCCTCCCCCTCCCCCTACTATTCCATTTCACAGCTTGCATTACCAAATAGTTCCAACAAATCACACAGTTCTTGTTCAATGAGAACGAAAAATTATATCGACATCCCTCAATAACGTAAATCAACTGCCCACTAGGGTCCCTATTGAAGTTGACCACGAAATTTTTTGTTAAATCTTCAGTTCCCTCTTCACTCTTAGCACAGATGAGCAACGAAGGCATAATAGAACATCTAGCAGTTCTAAATAAATCCGTTCTTTTTTAACAGTATTAAGATAATGTTTTTATTATTGATTACTTGAATAATCATGTCTGGCTTTGGTTTTGGCCCTCCAAGAAAGGATAAGACAGAAGAATTAACTTCACGACATTGCCAGACCTTTCTTTCATGAGCCAGTTTGAGAAAAGCAATCCCTCAAAATGGGTTAAGGGTGAGTTAAGAATGAACACCATTTTGAAATAACTTGTAGCCAATACAATTTTTCATGATTTTTTTCTTTCAAGATTCAATTTAATTCCATTTTATACTTTTAAAGAAGCAACCTATATTAGCTTGTCTTCAAATGTAACACAAGGTTTCGCTTATTATAATGTGGGTCAAAAGCAAACAAACCCTCATCCTCGTTGACCTTCTTAATAAAAATATGCTATTCTACCATGTTTCATCCTATTTTGACCTTCCTCTCTCGTCTTCAACTTCTGTCTCTCTAATATAACTTTCTATACATAGGTAACCTGAGAAAGAATGTTTTTTGTTTTCAAAAAACACCCAACAGAAAAGGTGTCTTCTTCTAAAAATTTGTGAAGATATCAAAACTGTAGCCTGCCAATTCTTGGAAGTTGTAATTGACACTAAAGCTTTACAATCATACGTCTGCACCTTCAACTTCCAAAGGTTTTGGCTACTGAAGATTTCACTTGGTTCAGACAGAAGTCTTTGCAACCACCTCCCCCTTTCCTTTCTTCCTGGTTTTTATTATGACAAAAATAATAATGCAGAGATCTTTCACAATTTCTACTAAACATGCAAAATACATTCTTATACACTGTTCAAAAGCCACTAAAAAAGAATAGCACAAGCAACTGATGAATCATTATTAAAAAAAACACTTTGAATTAGTCACCTGTGTCTTTAGAAAGGTTGTTGATGAGTTCATGAACTCCCTCCTTGCTTAAAGTATCCTTCAAGTACACTGCCGCAGCTGCCACCTCCTCAGGAGTCACTTTCCCATCATAATCTCTGCGCATACAAACAGCACCAATGATGCGTTTTACTAACAACCATATGCCACAAACGAAATGAATCTAGTAGGTAAAAGTCTGTTCAAGTGTCATCTACACAGAAATGGAAAGTCAGGACCAACGGCAGTCATGCAAGAAGATGAACCAAAGTCTGCCCAGTCATGAATAAATCACACTGAGGAATGAAAATGATCAATATGGATGCCAACATCCAATATATGGATTGTTGTCACTAGGCAATATTCCATTGCTAGGTCCCACGAGTCCACAATTCTCAAATGTTATGGTGGAACAACTAAGGCATCAAACGTTTAATATAAACAAAACTACTTTAGCTACACAAACATACATGTTATGTTTCACAAAAAAAATTACTCAAACAAATCATCACCTACTGGTCAAACTCAATACTGTTCATCTGGGTAGCACACTAATCTACCATATTTTCCAATTCTGCAGAATGAATTTAAATCGGACTAGTAATTGGATCCGGTTCACCATCTAATAGGAAAATACTGATCCAGTTGTCTAGCTGACAAAACAACTTGTCAGTGTACAGAACTGATCCCATCCTGGTAGAGATTTGGTTTCATTTTAAGGTAGAATCAAAATATTTTTTCACCTTGAAAATTAGAAATCAATAACATAAAAATCTGCCTGATATCTCGAATTCTAAGAACGTTTTGGGAATATTAGTCTACAAAACAGCTAAACCAGCACAAACTCTTTAGCCCGGTCAGGGAAGCACAAAAAATGTTCTCACTAACTAAAATAATTCTTCTACTAGCCTTTCTGCTTTATAATCCACCAAAAAGTAGCATGTCTAATGCAACTAGGCAAAAGTATAGAAACAAAAAGCAACAGAGTAGGGGTATGATCAGTTGGACATTGGCCAGTGTTCTTCCCAACAGCTCCAATAAATGTACCTACACCCCATTCCATCTGGAGAATGATATGATTGACCGAGAGTACTTATGAAATCCGGTAGTGAACTAATGATTTTATCTGTGACCTCCTGAACTATTCGTATCGTTCTCTTCGGTTAAAAAAGGCTATGATGAAACTTCATATCAGCTTCCTAGCGTTGAACTCCCGCAGCTTTGGTCTCTCAGCCCAGATGGAAATGGAAACTCCAAAACAACCTAAAACCTCATTAGGCATACCCATCCTAAGGTCAACTATGGAGGCATCGTTTGGAACAAATTCAATATCTCCAAGCACAGTATTATCGCCTGGATGACCCTCAACTCTGGGCTTTTTACCGCAGATCGAGTTAGCAGATTTTATCCCAACTTCATGACTCTATGACCTGTGCATGCTTGAAGATGAAAGTGCCCTGCCAACCTAATATGCCCCCAGGATTCCCATAGATGCAAAGCATAGTACAACTACCAACAACTTTGCAAAAAATTAGTCCCTAGAATAATCTGCACTCCAATTTATTGTTTACCAACTATTTTAAGCTCTCTGAAAATTTCATGCTGGAAGGATTCTGTCCATTTGCTTGTGAAAACCACCAAAGATTCACAATGAACTTACTCCTACAGGTCCCCAAAAAAGATTTTGGTATAATTCTTGTGAAGCCTTTATTTCTTCAGTCCTGAATTTTTTCCATTTCTTAGTGATCATTGGCACCTTTTTCTATGAAAGAACACTCCTGCCTCATAGTCCCTGAAACATCCAAGGACATAAGTTCTTAACCTCAAACTATGACCTATTAATAGCATCGAAAGAAATGACCTATTAATGATTTGTCAAATAACTAATATTGAGTGTGCAACTCCAAATCATTAACCTAGGTCCCACACTCACCTGCTTCCCATTCTAGTGCAGATGTCCTCTGATGAGTGCGCGAAAGTGCATTCTAAATACCCTTATATTGGGTTAAAATGCTAAAATGTAAATATAAATAATTAGATATAATTTATATTATTGAATTTGATATTTATTCACACTGAGATGTATTTGAACATGATTTTATAATATTTTAAATCTTAAATATTATATTATTGGTTGGTGAGAGATAATTTACAAATGAGATTTACAATTAACATTTTTAAACTTTATTATTCGGCTTTTATATTTGTTTTTATTTTGATGGCAGCCCATGGAGTAAAAAAGCTGAAGTTAATGTAGCTGTCAAGTGGCCCCAGCACTTATAATTTTTATTGGGCTTCATCTTTCTCAAATTACACAAGATTTGGGTTTCAGGGGCTGAAGTAAAAAGGTTAGAATCAAGAGGGCATGAAAATGATTTTTCTCAAGAAAAGGGTTTGACTTTTAAATACTTCTTGTTTTCTTTTCCTTTGGGGGAGGGGGAGGCAGCTATGCCTTTTCTTTTCCTTGGGTGTGTCGCGGCTAGAAGAATAAAAAAAAAGCAAAGAGAGGCGGCTTCTTCTTGGACTGAAGGCGGACGCAGATCAGGAGAGGAAAAAAGCTCCGATGGCAGTCAATTTGCTCTATTTCTTTGGGAGATTTTTGTTGTCCATTATATTTATGGGTAACTAAATTCCTAAGGTAGGGCCAAAGATGACTTGCACAGGAGATGGTATTTTATTTATTTTTAATTTATGCATTTGAATTCTAATTAATAAAATTGTTTTGCTTTATCAAAAAAAAAAAAAAAGCAAAGAGAGGCGGCTGCTTCTTGGGCTGAAGGTGGATGCAAATCAGGAGAGGAGAAAAGCTCCGATGGCAGCCAATTTGCTCTATTTCTTTAGAAGATTTTTATTGTCCATTATATTTATAGGTAACTAAATTCTCAAGGTAGGGCGAGGGATAAACTTGCATAGTAGATGGTATTTTATTTATTTTTAATTTATGCATTTGAATTTTAATTAATAAAACTCTTTTGCTTTATCATTCTCAATTTATTGTTGATATTTTCTTCTCCGAATAATCATAGAATTTATTCTGTTTATGAATTCAATCATGTTTTTTTTATTGAATGGATTAGTTCTTTGATTATGTTTGAATCAATTATTTATCTATATTGATTTAATTTTTTGTTGCAATATCGCTTCTTAAGTATATTGTCGTCATTGAATTTACTCAATAGTGATAATAATTTACGTATTTTCAAAGTGGTGAATGATTTTTCAAAGGGTTACATGTAGTTTAATCTTAATTTATAAATCTACACCTTCCAGTTGGAAATTTTGGGAATTGAATTTTCAATTGAGTTATTTAATGAATTAAGAATAATTAAAATACCAAATTTATGCAAGGAATTCCCGACGCTTTACTGTTTGTCAAATTTGAGTACTTTTTACGTTAGTCACTTTGCTTCACTTTAATTTGCATTTAAAATTAATCTTTGTTTTTCAATAACCATTTAATATTTTTCTTTAGTTTCTTTGTTTCTTTGTTTCTTCTACTATTCTTTCAATTAGTCTCTCTGTGGAATCGACACCCCCAAGCTGTGCTACAACTACCACATTATTCTTTAGGTGTAATCACCCTCTGACCTTTTTTCCCAGATATATCCATTTGTTATGTATGTCTAAGATGTATATGGACATATATATCTCACCGCTAGTAGTCCCAACAAAAGCCAAGACCAAGAACACCCATCTGATCGCTGAGACAGTAGTATCAATTATGATCATAAAGCCATCAATCCTTTCCAAATAAGTAAATACAAATACAGCCTAGATTGAGTCTGTTCATGGAGTCATATGCTATAAACAACACAGACAAAGAAATCGTAATGTCTAATTGACTTACAAGACATCTTGGTGGGATTAACACATATCACGAGATGACTGGGGACATGAGTAACTTCTTACAAACCATCCCCAAAAAGCAATGTAACCACTTGAATACACCTCCAATTGCTTCATCATTCCTCCCCTTTATCATCACTTGAACTTTCATCTCTAATTTTAATACACCAGAAATTATCTGATCTTTCATGCCAAACACAGCTCCTTTTTTTCTTTAGAATCTATAGTAGCAAAAGCCTCATGCACTACCAACTGCCCCACTATAATTTTGAAAAAATTGGGGAAGTAGTTTGAAATTGTTTAAAATTTTAGAATTTCTTAAGATTGCCCCCATTGAAATTTTTGAAAACTTATGGGTAGGTAGTGATCTATTTTCTAACACATGGGTAGCTTTAGTAAAAGTTAAAAGTGGCTTTTACACATCTCAGGTCACAACTTTCAATTGCCCCATGCCCTTTTTCGGCCGTCTCCTCTCTTGTTCTCTCTTCTTCTACTTCCAAAATCCTTGAGTTCTTCTCTTTGTTCCACCTCGGCATTCTTGGACACGCACTTCACTCTCTTCAATTTTCTTTCCCACTTCATTGCCTCTCGCTTTACTTGTTACTTGTTCCTCTCTCAATTCCCACCAAATCATCGTTGTCCGGGTCTATTGAGAGGATAGGTTTTAAGGAAATTGGAGCTTAAGAGATTCTATCAAAGATGGCCAGTCGGCAAGTAAACCACAAACGATTTCTTTGATTTCAATTATAATTGCATGTTTCTAATACTTGGGCCAGTGATTAGGGTTTCTATTTTCTTACCTCTTAACTTTTTCTTGATAAAATAAATTTGAGATTTGATTATCTGGAAGAGAACTATGGAGATTCAGTTGTTTGTGTATTAATGTATTTGGAATATCATTTGCATTACGCAACGGTTCAGCAATGCGACTCGCATTGGTGAAATTATGATTTTGTTTTGTGAATTGGAAGCTAAGGTGGACATATTTTGGAAAATAGGTTGAAGGATTACTCTCCCCACTTGATTGAAAGCTAAAATGTTGGGGATTACTTTTTAGATATAACCATTTCGGTTGGTTGGGCTCAAGTGATTTGATTGTGATAAATTGAGGTGTCTATATCTAAGTCTGATTTAATAGAATTGTGATAGATTTAATTTTTTGAATTATTTATGTTAAAATTTGTTAAATTTTTATAAACAATTTTGATTGATTGAACTTGAATAATAAATACTAAGTTTGTGTCTGCTAATGAAATGGTGAATACAACGATTCTAAAATATTGAAACTTGTCAGGAACAATTATCCAAATTTATAGGATGTTCAATAGTGTAGATCTTCCCATGTATAGCTCAGTCTATTATTGAGCACAATATTTTTTTGTACAAAAGTTTTGGTCAAGTCTTGCAGAGAATTTTATCGTGAGCTTTCTTTGTTGGCTCTTTTTGCATATTGCTCGTAAATACGGGTTGCGTCTTTAATTGACAATCTTTTAGTGAAACTCAACTTCTATGAAAATAACGTTAGCATTTGGAGTTTAGTATTTATATGTGGAAAGTTGCCCCCACTTGAAAAGATGTTTGGCTCCACCCTTGTGTGCACTGCATTGCCATTTCTTCTTAGTATAACTAAGGTAGATGATATTTCCAAGCACAGTAATTTTGATCACTCATAAATTAGTGTTATATGCAAAAGGACAAATACATCTATACATAGTTATCAAAATCGTACGATTCACGATTCAATTCATATGATTCGGTTCGATATAGGTATAAAATGATTCATATCTTATATGAGAATCGTTTTTTAGAGTTGAATCGTACGATTTGATTAGTATCACATGAATCGCATGATTCACTCATTTTTTTTTAAAACCCAAATTTTTAGTAAAACGGCGTTATTTTGTCCGCTAAACAGTAAAACGATGTTGTTTTATTTGCAGAGGAACCCACGCCTTAATAAAAATTCAGTCTTTTTGTTCGTTCTCTCTCTCTCTCTATGATATCGTCTAAAGCTCGCTTTGTGTTATCGAAAGCTAAAGGTCATGGCTAACACTCTCGCACCATCAGTTAATTTTTGCTCTCAATTCTTTTATGGGTAATTTGTTAGATTTTAATTTATTTTATTTCAAAATGTTGGCCTATATATTTTCTCCCAATCAATTTTCTTATTGTTCTTTTTTCATTCATGTTTGGTTCTTGAGTGTCATTATTTTGGTTCTTGAATAGCCATGGTTCTTTCATGAATTTTTTTTTTAAATTGTTGAATTTGAAAATGATTAAGCAAAAGATAAAAATGAAACAAAAAACTAGCATCTTTCTATTTAGACAACGTGATTATCTCAATTAATTTTTTTTAGAATGCAATAATGTTTAATATTCAATATTTTGTCTATTTTAAATATGTAGTATTATTTTTTATTTTCATTCAAATTTTGTGTCTAACCTTGCGATTCACAATTCTCAAATTTAGGATTTAGATTCACGATACGAATCGCGATTTGACAACTATGCATCTATATTATATGAAACTCATTAAGATTCAATAGGCCACGATTAAGCCATCTGAGCGCCCCTCGATTTTGTAACCAGTACTGCAAATGGAACCTTGTTTGATGAGCAGCAAAGAACAATAACCTGCCAAGCATAATCCTAAAAGCTTTAACTCACCTGTCAAGCACTCGCCAACGGTCACCAATTTTGGCATCAACATCATCAATTTCCTTTTCAAGGTTCTGAAGCATAGCATCAACCTGAAGTATAACAGTCAAAACGAGTCAATACCATGTCAAGTGGCCATTGTATTGCAATGAGTGCCTGACAAATTTTTTTTTTCTAAATTGCAATGTTTGAGATCAACTTCAGAGTCTTACCCTATCTATGAGGGCTGAAGAAACATCATCACCTACAGCCACTTCAATAGAATCATCACTTCCCTCGCGGGCAGCTCTATATACCTTCATGGCCTCTTGTTGACCAACTGTCCCCTCTTTCTCTACAATGCTGTTATACAGTTCAATCTGGAAAGGTAAAAGCAATCTAACATGAATCATATGTAAAAGATTAGATATTATTTAGAGTATGGATAACACGAAATCAGAGCTAGTCATTTTCTATGATAGAATACAATAATACCTTTATAATGAAGGGGGAAAAACTATACATGAAATGTAGGGAAAGAGAACACAACTAATACCAGGCATTTCCATAATCCACTTAATAACAAAGTCCAGACACCTTAAAATGGCAGACAAAAAGAAGAGCTCCAATGAACCTAAAGATTAGTTGGTTGGCTACAAAGAAAGATTTGGGAACAAAATTGAGTAGACATAATGCATATAGAAATTGTAGAATGACAGTCAAAAGTTTGATCAAGTGTACAACATTCAAAATGCCCTGATGGAGTGTTGACAGAAGTTAAAGGTGATTGTTGTCCACATATACATGAAGAAACACTAAGGTGGTGTTTGGGTAGTGGGTTAAAGGTGGTTATCCACTAGTTGAATGGGATAAAATAGGGGTGGCACCCCAAATGACCCTTGTTTGGGGATGAAAAAGGGAGACTGGATATATGTTAGTATGTATGCTATTCAATTTAATGAAGCTTGTAAATATGCTCATTTTCCTAATTTTGATTTTCTCTTTATGTTGGTATTTGCAAGTAAGTGTTGTCTTCTTATTGCATTTAATTTCGATTTCAACAATTTAACATCAGTCATGTGTGCTAGTTACGATGTTTATATATTTTTCAAACTAAATGATGGGACTTTTCTGAAATACTTCATGATGAAGACACGTGTCCTCGGTATTTACCAAAACACTGTTGCTAAGATCAAGCACCATCGGCGCATAAAGGTCCTCGCCCCCGAAGTACTCGTCATATAGGATCATGGCATTCAGTACGAGTTACAACCAACACGTAGCCTCGGTCTGATATGGTACCTCGGTCGGTATACCTCCCTCGGTTCCGAGATGGCCTTTCCTCGGTGCCGAGAGGTACCCCGTCCTGGACGCTTCCTCTACTCCAGGATAAGCTATTGACGTACAGGTCATTAGCCTAGGCTAGTCTAGGCTATTCATCATGACCTCGTCTTACACAATTAGTGTCAGAATGTACTGGAATGCAGGGGCCACAGCCAATGGGGGATGGACGCGTGGCGTATGATATCACATCAAAGACAGAGAAACCGCATGCCGTTGCTGACACGCGACTTGGGAAAGTAAACGATTAATTACACCATTCCCTTGATGAGACCGCATTCAATGCGGTAAGGCTCAGAAATGAAAGGCAATAAATGCTCCTAATACAGAGCATTTATTGCATCCTCCCCGAGAGGAGTACATTGTACCGTCGGCATCCCGATGACCCAGCATTGATTGCTCGGGACCCCGAGCAGTTAAGAAGAGAAGACATTTCTCATCAGAATCAGTGCGCACACTGCCTGTACCTCTAATGATCACCTACTGACTACACTGACAGCAATCATGAGCTTTTGAGGTATAAATACTCCTTGCAAAAGTCAAGACGGGTATGCAACAAAAAACTCTTTACTACAATACACACTCAGTATTTTCTCCTTCCTCTCTCTTTCTCAAAGACTGACTAGATCGTCGGAGGGAATACGTCGGAAAACACTCCGGCGCCCTTCTAACTTGTTCTTCTTTGTTCCAGGAACCTCTTTCAGTCTTACTGGATCGTTCTTCCGCTCCCCCAGGGTCTCCCGTTGCCGTTCCAGGTTACCACCGGACCTCGCAGGCTGTTCCAAGCAGCGTGGTTGGTCACTCAACTGGCTCACTCGAGTTCACCAAGGGAGAGATCTGTTCTCGTTTTTTATATTGTGCAGGATCTTGCACGCACAATTTGGCGCCGTCTGTGGGAAACGACTAGTTTTCCTAGTTTTTTTCTCTATAAAGAATAGTGACCATGGTAAACACTCGACAGAAAGGGAAAGGACCCCACTAAAGGAGTCTCGAGTTACAAGCTCCCTGTCATCACGGAGGGAGGGATCACACCAATATGAATAAAAGTGCCTCTACTCGGTCAAGAGGGGTTACCCCTCAAACCAGTATGGGAATCAGGTCAGGGGGATCAGCCCCCTTGGCTCGTCAACTGGCGGAGGTGATTGAAGAAAAGTTTGGCGATAGATTACGACAGCTGGAAAAGGATAATGTAAACGTCCTAAGCCGGCTCAACGAGTTTGCCACCTCTGACGAAGGGTCGAGGGATTCATTCCTTTCTCGTGGGCTTCCCGCCCGGGAGGCGAAAACGAAGGATCTAAGAAACCACCTAAACAACAAGGCAGAAAGCTCTAGGGCCCCAAAGCGACCCAGAGCCAGCGAGCATCATTATGACAACCATTCAAGGAAGGCCAGGCCATTGGCCCTGGACGACCTCCGGCGAGGTTTGTCTAGACGGAGGAAGGGAGATGAATCGGAAGAGGATTCAACCCAATCCACACGACGCCCAGGAAATGAGGGGCTTACCGATGAACTCAAGGACTTCAAAAGGCATCCCGTCGGGGAAGAAATTGATCTCAGAGCCCAGTTAGACTCCAGGAGAAAGGGTAAGGCTATCCAGGATGAGGCCGAGGACGAAGTCATACAAACACCCTTTACGAGGGAGATCAGTGAGATGGAGGTTTCAAGAAAGTTTGTCGTGCCGCGGTTCAAAACTTATGACGGGCGGTCCGATCCCGAAGCCCATGTCAGGCAATACAAGCAGATGATGTCCCTCTATCATTCGGACCAACGGTTTCTCTGCCGAGTGTTTCCTATGAGCTTGGGGGACTCTGCGATGAAGTGGTTCGAGGCGCTTCCCCCAACAGTATTGGGTCCTGGAAGGAATTGACTAAGCAGTTCCTGGCTCGATTCATTACGGGGAGTAAGTGCCCCAAAGACATTGGATCATTGCTGACCCTCAGACGGAGGGAATCCGAGACTCTTCGCCAGTACGCCATCCGATAATGAGAAGAGGTTAATGAGGTAGAAGACTGCTCGGAGGTCATGGCAGCAGCATCTTTCCGGCTCAGCTTGGCAAGGGACACGGATCTATACCGATCCCTGACCAAGAAGACCCCCTCGGATATGGGGGAACTAATGGCCTGAATAAACAAATACTCGAGGATTGAGGACGAGATGGGAAGCAGCAAAGGCCGAGCCCTCCAATCTAAGAGAAAAGAAAAGGAGCGGGAAGATATTCCCCGAAAGGGATTGCTACCCCCTCCAGGGGGTTCGTCCAAAGGAGTTCACACTGTGTTCAAGGAACCCATCTTCAAGTTGCTCTATAAAATCAAGCACGAGTCGTTCTTTAAATGGCCGCCCAGGATGCAGAGCGACCCCTCCACCCGTGATCAAAAGGTTAGGTGTTCCTATCACCGGGATTTTGGGCATCGCACCGAAAGCTGCCGAGTGTTCAAATCGTTCTTGGAAAGATTGGTCCGAGACGAATATTTGAAAGAGTACATAGAGCCCAGGCCAGAAGAGAGACAAGCCCTTGCCCCGACCGAGGAACCGGACAACATCATAGATGTCATCCATATATGTCCCCTGGATCGCCCCACGTCCAAAGAACTCGAGTCCGACCTCAAGAGGGTACCTTTTACAAGGAAGGTAGCCGAGGTTGATGTAGGGCCACCAAGTAAAAGGGCCAGGACGGGTGAGCTTGGCATTACATTCTCCGACGCGAATTTGACAGGCGTAGTGACTTCTCATAACGACGCCCTTGTCTTGACCCTGAGGATAGGAAAATTCGACGTCAAAAGGATTTTGATAGACTCTGGAAGTTCCTCGGAGGTGATGTACTCCGAAACTATAAAACGGATGGGTCTTGGCCCCAAAGACCTCACCAAAGTCAGAACACCCCTCATTGGATTCAACGGCTCGTTCGCCCTGCCCGTGGGGAAAATCACATTGCCAGTTGTCACAGGTCCCTTTGTCATCGACACCGAGTTTGTCGTGATCGATACGGACTCTCCCTACAACGTGATTATGGGGCGAACATGGCTGCATGCGTTGGGGGCGGTGCACTCCACTTTCCACCAGAAATTAAAATTCGCCACGCCAGAAGGTATCCTGGAGATCCGGGGGGACCAAGCGTCCGCGAAAAAATTATTTTTATTCAGCCGTTCGAGCCGGAGCGTTCAGCCAGGAGAAGGGTCGAGCACCGGAAGAGATTATGGAAAAATAGCAATTACAGTCCGGGCGTCCAGGAATGGATGACCCCCGGATAGACCCAACTGAGCGGTCGATAGAAGACCTTCGGAAGGTGCCCTTGGTAGAGGGAGAAGAAGAGAGGTATTTCTTGGTTGGGACCTCGATGCCCACAGCCGAATCCCCGAAGCAAACACAAGAGCGTGCCTCTTGAATGGGCGAGCAGCCCCGAAGACAGTTCCAAAAAAAAAAAAAAAACAAAACACTATTGTACGCAAAAAAGGAAAAAGTACTCATGATTTATTTCAAGAAGAGGGGCTTTGCGTCCCCAAAGGCTACAAAAGAAAAAAGAGTACAATCAAAAAGAAAAAGGGGCTTTCATCTGGCCCCGGGCATCTCCACAACATCAGCCGAGGGCGAGTCAGCATAAAAAGGTTGAGAAGCTTCTGGAGCAGGCAGAAAGAGAGGTACTTCGGCCACAAAGAGACCTTGAGCAACATGAGGATCAGGGGCATGGTCCGGCGGGGCCTCTTCGAACAAGTCCACTATCACTGCCTCGGGCGGATCCGCTGAGACTTGCACCGGCGTTGGGATCTCATCCTCGACAGCAATCTCTACTTCGGCCCGTTCCATCTCTGCCGAGGGCACGTACTTGTGCATCTGGAAGAGCGGGGAGTCTGACGGGATTCCAGCAGACTGGAGCGCCTCATCCCACCCTTTCTTGAAGAACTCCTTACTGTTTTCCTCAAGAGCAGGGAGCACGTCATCGGCGAACTCTTCCCGGAGTTGCTCCTCCGACTTCCTGTTCAGTGCCTCAGCTCTGATCCTGTCCAGCTCCTGGGTGAGAGCCAGACAGCTTTCCTCTGAGCCA